ATTATTTTTTAGAATTTCTCAAAAACTGGTTTTGCAGAGAACCGAGACTTCAAGAGCCATGGGCAGAAATCAAATCATTAGTCTTTTGCGCTTCACTTGGCCTTTCGAATGGCGTAAGAATGAAGGCTCTAGTTATTATGCGGAATCTACAAAATTTTACTTAATGCAAGATGCCCAAAGTCGAGATGTTTTGCTTTGAAAATTTTTCTAAATCGAGATAACTATAACGTCATATTTTGTGAAGTAGACTGTCTCGTTCTTTTTGTCATGTACGTGAAAGGCACAGAACATTCTATTTCGTAGAGTGTGATGTCATATTATAAGCAGATATAATTTTCTTTTCTTTTCGTCATGTAAGAATGAAATGGATAAAAAAAGTCCAACATAGATTACCTTTTTGCTATTGTTGTTAGGTTCTTGTTTGAGAATGACTGTTTAATATAAAAAATATCACAAAAGAACAAATATGATTAAAAATTTCATAATAGCCGTAGAGGAGGTTGTGTTTGATGACAACATGAAACGAACGAAGTTGGAAAAAATGACGAAAAAAAACTTAAGCATATAAATAAAGACATTGAATGGCAATAACAACATTCGACATCAACAGCAAAGTGCAACTGAATCTGTCACGTTTTATCACCAACTGTTTTCAACTTACAACAATAGTGCTCAACTTTTTCCAGTTTCAAAAGTAACACTGGTGGCAGAATTGCAAACAGTCTTTGTTCCAAACTCGAGAAGCTCGATCGAGTCGTACCAGTGACATGTCTCTAGTGCGTCTGTACTTTATTCGTCATGGTCAGTCAGAAGCTAATCTTACTCTCAATGTATGTGGTCAAGCCATTTCTTCTACGTTGACTTCGTTAGGAAAAGAACAATCAACGTTATTGGGTACAGTATCAACATAGGTGGATCTGCTTTTATATACTTTGCTTTTTCGCCTCTTAGGCAAACGGTTCAAATATGAAAACATGAAATTCGATTATATGTTATGTTCAACAGCTACTCGTGCAATACAAACAGCAAATATTGCACTAGAAATAATGAATGTTGACACATCAAAATTAATAACTTCGGCTGAACTTTTGGAACAATCTCAAGGCATTTGGGAAGGTATAAATCGTTCGTCTGCTTATACACTCGAGATACTGCAGCAGCTGAGCCAGCTGCACATTGAATTTTGTCCTCCAGAAGGCGAATCAACACGAATCGTACAAAAACGAGCAATAGCCTATTTAGATCCTTATATCGAGCAAGCGAAGAAACAAAGTTTAATAGAAAGTAGAGAAATATCCATTGTCATTTTTACACATGCAAATTTAATACGGGCTGTATTACAATATTATCTACAAAGTAATCCACAGCATGCATGGCTCATTCAACAAAATAATACAGCGATTAATGAAATTATGTTCAACAAACATGGAACTTCCTTAGTAAAAGTGAATGACGATGGTC